TAGTTTTAGGGAAGAAGTACATATTTCGCTTCTCCTAAAAAAGTTTTAGTAAATGAGATAATGGAATAACGCCTCATTTTGAAATTTGTTTATACTTTATAGGGACAAAGTGCATACTTTGCTTCTCTTTCAAAACTTTCAAGAAATGAAATGCTGCCTCATTTTGAGCCGAGAAGGTGTGCATATTTTATTTTTATTTTAAAAACTTCAAAAAAATAGATATTGCAATTTTTTTTGTTTTTTTTCAACATTAACACATCAACACAACCAAAGAAACAGTAATGAAACACCTGTGGATTATGGGCCACAACGTTTCCTCTGCGCCACTCTGATTTGTTAATATATACTGCAAAACTTTCTCAAGAAAATGATATGATGCCTTGATGAGAAGCAATTTAAGCATTTATCGAGAGCAGAAAAACTTTAGGATAATATGTTTCGACCTTTTCCCGACTAATTGAGTTTGGCATATGTCAATTACACCAAAAAAAAAATAAAACCATTTGGTCACGTTACACAGACCAGCAAGTGATATAGATCTCTGCCTATTGAACGAATCTCAACCACTCTTTTGATTATGGCCTGTGACCAGCGCATAGCTCTTATTTTTTTTCAAAAATAAAATTAGAAAAGAGGGAATAGGTAACAAGGTAAGTGAGAGGAAAACAAGTATCTACTCCAATGTCACCGAGTCGGTGGGTCGTTTTGGTAAGTTAAAGACCACGAGTTCAATAAATTAGGATATTAAAAATAATAATTTTTATTTTTTAAAAACATTGATGCTATAAAATCTATAGATTTATTTGGCAGGTCTAAAGGATTAAAATTGATCGGTCTCTCTAGTTAAACATGATGTTTTAATTAATTTTTGAAGAAATTTTTTTTTGTTTTAAATCATAGAGGTCAAGGCATTAATTAATTGTCTGATCAACAAATTCGGTCAGGATAAGTATAATCTATATTGGTATTTAAGAGGAGTGGCTCATATGTTTTATTTGAAATGTGGTCTTCAGCAATTAAAATATATCTTTTTTATCCGGAAACACGGCACCTTGTCTTCTCTCTCTTTAGAAGCAAGTTTTTTTATGGCATTTGATAAAGCAAAAGTGTTGTACATACTGGGGATACGTTTCTACATTTGATTCCCTTGATGCATAAAACATCATTTTAAAGATGGATGCATATGTATAGTCCCTCTAAACAAGTTAAAACTAGTTTACATATTTTTTTCTTTAGTTTTAAAAATTTATCTATTGTTTTAGATGCAGGATCTTCATATTAAAGATTATACATTCCATGAATATTGAGTCCTAAATCCATCTAAAATTAGATTTTTAAAAGGGAACTCATTTCTACATATGAGTCGTAGGACTCATAGAAACCTATTCCTTAATAATACCACTGGCTCAATAATACCACTGGCTCGCTTTAAATGAAAAAGTTTATATATGGTGTTAATTTTAAATTTAAACAAATAAAAAATCCATTAAAAAGGGTTGTTTAGACATTGGAAACCCCTTTAATTGATTATATCAACCCGACAGTCATGTATATGAAAAAAACAAATGTCAATTTTTAAAATAGTGCCCTTGAAACCTATGCTATCACATTCTCTACGGCTCTAAGTCTTCAACTTCACACACTAAACCGATGCAAAGCGAACCAATTTCCCATTACAATAAGGGTGTGGTTCTTGCAACCTTAAAATTCAATTAAGGCACACCTCTAAATTTTATCATAACATGTAATTTTGGTGTAAAAAGTTTTTAGGATTACTTTAAAATCTGTTTTTATTTTTAATTATAAAATTTTAAACTCCAAAAATAAGTAGAATCAAGTAGATTATAAACATATAAAAATCTTGAAAATGGACGGTCTAGATAATGTGTTGTAAGATGCACTATTTCTGGGACTCAAAATCTTTTTTTTTTTTCGTATTCATACATCTCGATGGCGAGATGATCAATTAGAGAGTTTTTCAATATTAAAACAACTTTTTTTGATGGATTTTTGAGGTGCATCTATAATTCTACATCTTAAGGTTGCAACTTTATATAAACTTTTTCTTAGTAATAAATATATTAACAAAAGTTTTGAAACTACCCCCAATATACATAAATAGGCCATACAATATGCAAAGTATCGAAAGATATAACTCGAATTAAAACATTTTACAAAATGATGAGGTTTTAATACGCCTAATCTTTATGCAAACAAAATAAAGCCTCACCTCAAATCTTTGTCCAGAAAGTACTTTCAGCAATGGAAATCAGCATGGAAGGATCTTGCGGATATGTGAACACTTATTTTTAAGCCAAAATGGACAATCCAAGTAATTAGTTATAATGTATATTGTTTTTAGAGTTTGAAATCCTTTGTTTTTTTCACAACCATAATGTTCAAGTTAAGATGATCGATGTAAAGGTTTTTCAATGCTTGACATGTAATTTTCAATAAGTTACAAGGTCAGAATTTACTTATTTTGATAGGGCTGAAGCCCTATCAAACCATTTTTCTTTACAAAATATGGAGACTTATGTTCCCCTTTTAAAATCTATTTCAAAGATGAATTTTGGATTAAAAATTATAAGAATGAAAATCTCAACCGTGATAACCAAGAACTTGAACAAAAAAGTTAAAATAACTTATTTTATTTTTTTTGACATAGTTTTAATAGGTTCAATTTTAAATTTATGTGGGTTTACCATTTTCAATCGTCTATCTCTAAGATGACACTATTGCTATTATAATGTTTTGTCGAGTAACATGTGTGAACTGATGGGAGGGAATGTTGGGAGGTCAAAAAACAATATACCCATAGAATGAGTGTAGTAGAGATTAGGATGTTAAGATAGATGAGAAGGAAGACAAGAAACGATAGAATTCGAAATGAATATATTTGAAAAAAGCTAAATATGACACTACCAATAGACTATAAGAAAAGAGAGAGTTGACTTAGTTGGGTTGGCCATGTATAGCGCACACCTAGTACATCACCTGTTGGGAGGTGCAAGTTTGTTCAAGTGGAAGGTTAAAAAAAGGCAAGGAGTAGATCCAAAAGAACTTGGTTGAAAATAATGCAAAAAGATATGGGGACTTATGGTCTCATTGATGGTATAATCCTTAATAAAAGAGAACGGTAGACCATAATTCATATAGCCAACCCCAATTAGTTGGAAAAAAGCTTTGACGATGATGATGACGACATGCGTTACTTAACGCTCTTGTAGAAGTGCTCCCCCTAACACACAAATCTGCTTTTTCTTGAAAAAATGGCCACTTTAAAACTTATTTGAAGTGGGGTGTGGCATCAACGTTAAACTATCAAAGTAAGGCGCATCTCTAAATTTTGTTGGAAGATACAATTTCTATGCCAGAAATCTCTACAGCATGAAATTCGTTTCACACCTATTTTGTAAAATTTAAAGCTTAAAAAACGATGCAAGCCACCAAACTAATCCATGAAAACATAAAAATCTTTTTAAAAAGTAATATCAAATTCGCTTCAGAACAGTTTTTGTTTTGAGTAGAAAAGGGAAGCACTTTGGAAGATTGAGGGGAAGCGAGTGTATCTTTAAAACTAAAAACACAAAACTCTCTATTAATTGGGTTCTCACTACTTTCAATCATATTTTTTTGGGCCTACTTATTGTCTTTTTTGAACCTTCTACTTGAACAAACTCACGCCTCCCAGTATGTGTTGTACTAGGTTTGTGTCATATATGGCCAACCCAGCTAAGTCAACTCCCTCTCATCTTATCGCTTATTGGTGGTGCCATAATTAAATCTTTTCGAATAAGTTTATTTTGAATTATATCCCTTCTTGTTTTTCTACTCATTAATCTTAATATTCAAAATTTTGCTACACCCATTTTATAAGTATATTGTTTTTTGACCTCCCAATGTTCCACCCCGACTCATGTAACTCCAAAAAAATTTAAAAATACCAATAGCATCACCTTGGAGATGGATGTTAGAAAATAGCAAAGCCAGAAAAATTTAAAATTGACCTTCTACTATGTCGAAAAATTTCAAGTTTTATTTTAATTTCTTTATTTAGGTTTCTAGTTCTAATGATTTAGATTTTCATTCTCTAAAATTTTATCCAAAATTCATCTTCTAACATAGATTTTAAAGAGGAGAATCATTTAAATAGATGAGTTGGCCGACTCATATAAACCGTGTCCTTTTTTCAACTCGACTCACCTACCCTTTTTTTTCCATATCCAAATACACAAATGAAGCAGCATTCCACTATCAACAAAAAAAACCCCCCATTTTCTCTTCCACAAAAAAAAAAAAAAGGCACCCATTGTGCTCATTATAAAACTCTCTCTCTCATCCCAATGTTCATCCAGTAAAAAAGCATTAGAATCTCCCTTTGCTACCAATAACAAGCATCAGAAAATTTTTAGCGTCTTCATCTCCCCCTCTCTCTCTCTCTCTCTCTCTTTCTCTACTTTTCCCCTGGCCTCTCTACAAGAAAGTATTTCTCTTTCTCTCTCTTCACTTTCGCTAACAGCTCCAACATTCAACCATCCTCTCTCTACAAGAAAGTATTCCACTCCATCTCTCTCTTTACTTTCCCAATAATAATCCAATCTTCTTCTCTCTCCAAAAAAAAATTTCTCTCTCTCAAGCAACTTCAAAATCTTCCTCTCTCTACATGACAGTCTCTCTCTCTCTAAAACAACTTCACAGAAAATACCTCACTTCCACGTTCCCTTTAAGGCATCAAGGTTTCACAAAACACACCCACAGGAACCCCTGAACCACCTCCGTTTCCTTCTCTGCAAACCCCCTGCACTTCTTCCCAAACCATGTCCTCCTCTACTTTCTCTCTCCTCCATAATTCCCCAACCACAACAAACAAATAACCCTCCTTAACCTCTGCATTTTATACAGAGAGAGAGCTCCCAACCCATTTGAGCCTCTCCCTCTCCATCTCCATCTCCATCTCCATCTCCATCTCCATCTCCATCTCCATCTCCATCTCCACATTCTAGAGAGAGAAAGAGAGCTTCCATACACATCTGACCCTTCTCTCTCTAGAGGTTCTGGAGAGAGAAGAGAGATCCCAACCAGAAGAAGAATCAGTCTAGAGAGAGATCTCAGGAGAGAGAAAAAACCCACCAAGCCCTCTCTAAAATTGCTCTAGAGAGAGTAAGAGAACCAAAAATGCATGCAAAATCAGACTCTGAAGTGACGAGCTTGGCTCCCTCGTCTCCCACAAGATCACCCAGGCGCCCTGTCTACTATGTTCAGAGCCCTTCTCGCGATTCGCACGATGGAGAAAAAACATCTTTTCAATCAACCCCAGTTCTTAGCCCCATGGGCTCACCACCCCATTCTCACTCTTCAGTGGGACGTCACTCCAGAGAATCATCGACCAGTAGGTTCTCTGGTTCGTTGAAATCGAGTAACAGAAAAGTGGGTCACCATGAAAATGGAAGAGGAAAGGGGCAGAAGCCATGGAAAGAGTGTGCAGTTATTGAAGAGGAGGGGCTTTTAGAAGAGGAAGATGGGAATAAGGGGATTCCAAAGAGATGCTATTTCCCAATTTTTGTTCTCTCTTTTGTGTTGCTTTTCTCTTTCTTCGCTTTGATTTTGTGGGGCGCTGCTCGTCCTCAAAAGCCACAGATCACCATGAAGGTAAGATGGAAAAAATTCCTTTTTTTTTTTTAAAAAGGGATTTGGTTGCATGGGTTGTTGAAGAATATTTTTGGGATCAATTTTTTCTTTTTTGGGGGTAAATTATATGGATTTCTCTTTTTGGTTTTTGGTTTCTTTTTCATCTGTTTTGGTTTCTTATCGGGTTGAGAGAGATCAATTGCTCAGATTCTCTGTCTTGAATTTTCTTTGTTGAAGTTTAGATCTATTTATAATCTTTGCTTTTTACCCCTGGTTTCTCTTCTTAGTTAGAAACTTAGAATTAATGCTTCCCTTTGTTTCATTTTGCACCCAATTATTCTTATCAGAATTAGATCTGATTTTTCCATTTTCAGTTTTACACCCACCTCCATGAAGCTGCCAATCCTGCATTTCTTTTCCATACGAATTTTCCTTCAATTGTTCCAATCTGAGGAAAGATGGTGACAAAAAGGAGAATATATAAAAACTGGATCCGTTTATTTTTCACTCTCGCCCATATTTTTATCTGCATTAATTGATATCAATGATAAAACAGATATTGGTCTTTATGGTTGGTTCAATTTTTAACTCCTCTCCAATTTTACTCGTTTACAGAGCATTACATTTGAGAGCTTCACTCTACAAGCAGGAACGGACTCAACTGGAGTACCCACTGAAATGCTCTCCCTTAATTCCACATTGAAGCTCATTTATAGAAATCCAGCGACTTTCTTCGGTGTTCACGTCGCATCAACCCCAATTTCTCTCACTTATTACCAGCTCAGTGTGGCCTCTGGAAATGTAAGTTCTCAGAGAAAAAACCCATGAATCCTATTCGTAATTTTTTTTAGGGGGGGGGTTACTTTTATTTCTAGTAATCAAATCTCCATGCTTTTTCCTGATGGTTTTTTGGGTGCAGATGAAGAATTTTTATCAGAGGAGAAAGAGCCAGAGAGCTGTCAATGTTGTGGTAGAAGGAACGAGGATTCCTTTATATGGAGGAGGTTCCACTTTGAGCAGCTCAGATACAACAAAAACCAGTGTGGGTTTGAATATGACTTTTGAAGTGAGATCTAAAGCCTATGTTTTGGGGAAATTGGTGAAACCCAAGTTCTATACAGAAGTTCAATGCTCTGCAGTTCTTGATCAAACCAAATTGGGGACCCCTTTCTCTCTCAAAAATTCTTGTCAGTATGACGACTGATCGAAAAGTTAACCTCTCTCTAGAAGCCACCAACCCCACAAAGAGAGAGAGAGAGAGAGATTTTAGAGGGAGAAATTTTGAAGATGCCAGGGCTTTTTGTTGTGCTTGGTGGGGTTAACAGGCTGGACATGGGACCATTGAACTTTTTAGAGATAAAAACTACGCGTTATGGTATTTTTTTTCATGTAATCTATCTCTCCAGGCTGGATTTAGTGAAGTTCTTGCCCGTGATTTGAGGTGTTTTTTTATTTTTTTTGGAATAAAATATTTTATTTATTGTTTCTACTTGGCTTCTTATCTATCTGGCCTTGTAGACCCACGGAACACATAATTATCGATCTTCATCTCATCTCATGGTGAAACTATTTGGTTATTTTTATTGTAGCATCATGTATGCATTTATTATAGTGTCTTCAGTTTATTACATACTGATTAGGTCATTATTTGGGGCTCCACTTGACTTTTTAAGGCTTTCATAACATTAATTAACGTTGGGATTTTGCATTTATGGCCGATTCGAAAATAATGTTGTTTATTTATTGGGACTAGGGATATATGGGTGGGGTTTTTATTTGGCTGTGACCTTGAACAATCCAATTGAGGCGCACTTTAATTGCATTATAACATGTAATTTTGGTGAAAAACATACTTAAGATTATCTCAAAATTTATTTTTATATCTAATTATAAAATTTTGAACTATAAAAATAGTTTAAATCAAGTAGATCTATAGACATATAAAAGACAGTCCAGATAATTTATTACAAACAGTACTATTTGTAGGACTCAAAGTCTTGTTTGTTTTTTTTTTTTCATATTTATACATGTGGATGCCAAGATGGCCAATTAAAGGTTCTTTTAACACTAAAACAACTTTATTCGATGGATTTTTTCGATGCATCTGTAATTCTATATTTTAAAGTTGTAACCTTATATAAACATTTTTCTTCAAAAAATGGTGATCTAGCTAGCCAGTACCTCTTGCGGTTGGCCCCATTGTTTTTTAATTTTATTTGTTCTCTAATTTTAATTTTTTTTTATTTGCTGGTTTATTTGGCTAGTCTGTCAATCTGCTCTGCCGATGAACTAGACCGGATTTCTGAATTGACAATATGAGAAATCCGTTTTTTTAAACCTTGATTAGGATGCTTGTATTTTTAATTGCTAATGTGGTTAATGTGATATAACTTTGGTGTCTCACCGGAGCTGTACCTCACGAGTGAGAAAGTGACCAAAGTGGGAGATAATTAAAAAAATGGAAAACTGATGTTCAAGCCTAGAATCCCACCTTACCTAACAATTACCCCCAAAAGTGCAAGGAAAAATGGGTGAAAGAGACAAATTGGAATGAGTCAATACCTTGCCGTGATTATTAACTCAAAAATAAATCATGCGTTTACTTTGGAATGTTGTGGAAGTCATCTTTCATTTATTTTACTTTGGGATGTGGTGGAAGTCACCACTTACCCAAAAATAAAAAAAAGAATTCATCTGGAATTGCGTTTTCTGGAGGGGAGGTTCAGATTAATTCATGGTCACCTTTCAAGAAACCATCCATACTGTAGATAAATTTAGGATTTGAAACATTTTTTTAAGCGTAGATCTATGATTTTTTAGCTCAAGGAAGCCCATTTCCGACGATACTGTAGATAAATTTAGGATTTGAAGCATTTTTTAAGTGTAGATCTATGATTTTGTAGCTCAAGGAAGCCCATTTCTTATAACCAGCGTACGATCAAACTGAATGGCGATACGCTTCTGAAAACTTAAAAGGGAAAAGATTATATAGAGCTGAGGCTCTAAACAGTCAAATTTGAACCCATCTCAAAAATTTCACTAGAAGAGATTGTTTTGATGCTCAAATATCCTCCAATTGATCATCTTGACATCAAGATGCATGGACATGAGAAAAAAATGGATTTCAAGTTTTGGAAAATGGTTTATTTTGTAATGCATTTTTGGACAGTCAATTTTCAAG